TTCAGGGTTCAGATCACTGGTTCTGCAGCTCTCATCAGAAGCTTTTATAAGACCAGTATAAAGAAGCTATTAGCCTACGTTGACTTTTATGTGCCCAGATTTTATGAAGTCAACATTGAAGTCTCTGCTGTTGTTTTCTTTTTTTAAGATTTATTTTTGGCTTTTTGTGCCTTTAATGGAGAGATTGTTGATAGTTGATAGAGTCGGAAATCAGAGAGAGAGAGAGAGAGGGGAATGACACGCTGGAAGAAAGCCACGGTGGGATGTGAACCCGGGCCACCCGCTTGAGACAACAGCCTCCATACATGGGCGCGCGCACTAACCACTGCACCACCAGCGCCCCCTACGGTTGGACCCAACAGATATGGGACTTTTGGGGCCAAAACGATATTGAAAGAAGAAGAAGAAAATGAGATACTGATATTTATATTGGGCGATATCTTCCTTAGATCTCTGATCTGTAGAAGAGAGAGATAAAGATAGGGACATTTATTGCATTAATCCCTCAAATGCAGTTATCAAACATGACAAAATTTATAATGAAGACAAGATGATCACTCACCTCTTCATCACCGCTCGACACTCTGCAGAGTGATGACGCTTGTTGTAATCAAGCATCAACCTCGGGTCTTGAAACATGAAGCCAATGCTCAAATGTAAAATCCTGCAGTTCCTGGAGTGTCCACTTGAGGATGAGACAGCATTTCCATCATGGAGGCCGCCATCGATGAGCTCCAGCGCCCCCTGCAGGAACAGACGGCTGACGATACTCAGGCTTCAAATATTCATATTTACAGTGTGTGGTTGTAATCCATACAGCGCCCTCTGCTGGTGAAAGAGAACTAGTAGTGTAATACAATTAAACCCAACTAAAATTATATTTAACTGCTGAATAATATCGACACATATCTGCGATAAAATTAGCCGATACCGATAATCAGTGGTTATGCTGATATCGGCCGATGAATCGGTCGGTTTTATCTTCTGTATCTTACCCGAAGTTAAAGTGTAACCTAAGAACAGTTCTTTAAATGTAGTGTTGTGTGTGTGTCGTGTGTTGTGTGTGTGTGTGTGTGTGTGTGGGGTGTGTGTGTGTGTGTGTGTGTGTGTGTGTGTGTGTGTGTTGTGTGTGTGTGTGTGTGTGTGTTGTGTGTGTGGTGTGTGTGGTGGTGTGTGTGTGTGTGTGTGGTGTGTGTGTGTGTGTGTGTGTGCGCGCGCGTGTGCGTGTGTGTGAGAGAAAGCCGAGTCATATTTTCCACATTAGACTTCTCCTCCTGGTTAACTGAGCTCTTAATGACCTGTGCACACCAGCAGCCAGGAAACACAACAACGCTACAACATCTGGACCTCAATGATACCTCGTGTGTGTGTGTGTGTGTGTGTGTGTGTGTGTGTGTGTGTGTGTACATGCAACCCTGCAGAGAAGTGCAACACCGACGCTGAACTGCAGACATGAATACTGTGAGATCCTTCGAGAGAGAGAGGAGACTGTGTCTGTCACTTCTCATCATCAGAGAGCCTCATCGCTAGCTGAGTTCTCATTGAAATCCATTATTCATGTAGCAGTGGAGCTAATTCATGCAGGGGCTTCTTATTTATATTCATCCTGACGTCCACTAAGATGACAGAATACACACCCAGGAGCGTCGTGTTTTTTTAGACCGAACAATGAGATTCATGCAAAATTAAAAACAACGCATCGGCATGTGATCTCTCTAAAAACAAAAAGCTTGGAGGCCGAGGCGTCCCCACACCCCACACTCAGAGAACGACACCTGATCCTTCCAGCTGGGATTATCAGAGGAGAGATAAGTGTGTGCATCCTGTCCAGTCTCTCCTGGCTGGAGGTCAGATCCATCACTGTGATTATGGTGATGTGAGTGTTTAATTACACACAGAAAAGAAATGCAGAACTGGTTCCTCTCTCTCTCTCTCGCCCTGCAGCTTCTTCTCATCTGTGCATGTGAACTCTGTGATCAAAGTGAAGTATATTTTTGATGTGTTTTTATGCACATTTAGTTCTATCTGAACACAGTTTGTCTCAGCAGAGGAAGCTTGTGAAAGAGTTTCCGACTGTCGGAGGGTTGTTTCACAGTGAGGCGAGGAGTTTCAACATCTTACATGTCAGAGTTTCTGGAGAAGTGCTGAATTCACAAGCTGCATTATAAGTGTGGTAGTTAGTTTGTCTGTTTTATGACTCCTGATTAGCACTATTAAAAGTGGATTTCTAGGGCTGCGGCAATTTGCGACAGTCCTGATTATTTCCTTATACGATAATTAGGCTGTTTCTGTGTCTGTAGCTTTAAATATGTAAATGAGCTGTGTCTGACCACGCCCCCCTCTCTGGAAGGGCTTGGGTGTCTCTGGATTTCTTGCTCCATGTTCTATTGTTTACGGTGAGAAGGCAGACTCAGAGGGCATAACAAACACCTAGCTGTGGGAGTGTCACCCACCTGGGGGAGGGGCTACTGCCCTTTGTGATGTCATGAAGGGAAAATCTCCAAACATACTGTTTGAGCACACATTTTCCTCATCGCTTTGTGTCTTTGAAGTGTTTGTCATGAGAAAAGGTGTAAGCGCTCTCTCTCTCTCTCTCTCTCTCTCTCTCTCTCTCTCTCTCTCCCCCCCCCCCCCCCCCCCTCTCTCTCCCGCCCCTCTCTCTCTCTGTAGGTGATCCAGGCGGTGTTCTTCGGTCTCTGTGTCCTCATCGATGTCTCCAGTCTGCTGACTAAGGGCGGCGACAGCAGGGAGCAGGAGCGTCAGCTGAGGAAGCTGATTGGCCTGAGGGACTGGATGATGGCTGTGCTGGCCTTCCCTGTCGGAGCGGTGAGCAGATGGATGCAAACAAGCATACACATACACACACACACACACACACACACACACACACACACACACACACACACACACACACACTCACACTCACAATAGCCTCGGGATGGATCAGCCTGGCTTGCAGGAATCAAAGGCTCGACTCGAGCATTTGTAGAGTAATCAGCTCTCGCTCTCTTTGAACTGTGGCCCAATTTCTGTTCAGAGGGATTTTTTCCTCTCTCTCAGAAGTCTGAAAAAAAAACTGTTTGTGAACTCAGCATGCGGATGTCACAAGTGTCAACAGCTCACCCTGTTAGGATGTGGACATCACAGAGCGATCCCTGTCCTCTCCCATACATGACCGTGACCGTATTTAATGCATTATCCCGCTCGCTCTCATGACCTCAAAGTGTGCTCTTAGATTTAAAACACGACTAGTTGAGCTTTCCCTCCAAACCCGGCCCGATGCTCTAAAACACTTCCTGCTTGTTCCTGTTGCTTCTACTCAAACATATAGATCATGACATGCACAGATTTCCGGCATTCAACTTAATGCAACAACACTGTCACATCTATTTTGTCATTTAAAATAAGAAATTGGACTTAGACTATTGTTGCCACGGTAACAAAACATCGTATTAACATCGTTTTGTTTTTACTGGCATCAAATGGAAGTCTAAATATCTGGTAACCAGTAAGTATGAGGTTAGTCGTCTGTTGCCATGGTATCAAAACAGGTATTTATTGACACATAAGTCTTTAAGGCGTTCTGATTGGAATAACTCATAATTACACACGTATCTGTGATGGTCGTATATCACCTGTTGACATCATCTGACATCTAATTCTGAAGTTATTAATCAAGCTAGCTATCGACAAACTGATTCTTACCTGACCGGGATTATAATTTTCAACGGAGGAGGACAACGTCTGCCCGTCTACGTGTGGGCTACGCCGTAAAAGTTGTGAAATATTGGTGACATTTCTGTAAATGAGGTGATCGGTGACGACCTTCAGCGGGTCGGTCCGGCTGTGAATGAAATCAGAACAGAAGAAGAGAAGCGGTGTTGAGACGTCCTCCGCTTCCTTCAGACAGCCAGACGGTGACCTCTGTCTGATCCACACACACACACACACACACACACACACACACACACACACACACACACACACACACACTTTATTCAAGATTTCACTTGGCACGTTGCCTTGTAGCTTCTGAATGGAGAAACTTGTGTCTGTTTGACCATGCCCAGATCCTTGGTTCTCGACACACACACACACACACACACACACACACACACACACACACACACACACACAGTCATTAATATTCACACTGTTTACACACACACCTGCACAGAGATGGTGATGACACACAGTTGATAGCAACAGGAGAACCTGTGAGATAGATAGCTGCACACCACACACTTAAGAGAAGCGCACACACCTATAGGAGCGCTGAGGTGTGTGTGTGTGTGTGTGTGTGTGTGTGTGTGTGTGTGTGTGTGTGTGTGTGTGTGTGTGTGTGTGTGTGTGTGTGTGTGTGTGTGTGTGTGTGTGTGTGTGTGTGTGTGTGTGTGTGTGTGTGTGTGTGTGTGTGTGTGTGTGTGTGTAGTTTACACACAGCACAATAGACTGATTATCACCACAGCTAACGTCTGCAACACTAGCCTCACTGATACAGATACAACGTGTGTGTGTGTGTACGTGTGTACCAATAGCGAGATGATGTGTGTGTATATGACACACAGGGACAAGTGTGTGTGTGTGTGTGTGTGTGTGTGTGTGTGTGTGTGTGTGTGTGTGTGTGTGTGTGTGTGTGTGTGTGTGTGTGTGTGTGTGTGTGTGTGTGTGTGTGTGTGTGTGTGTGTGTGTGTGTGTGTGTGTGTGTGTGTGTGTGTGTGTGTGTGTCGCTGAAAGCAGAGAACTTTCCGGTCAGGGTACAATAAGGGGGATCGGTTCAGGTGCCTCAAACTGGAGCCCAGGTGACGGTCAGGTAATTCCACCCCCCCCCCCCCCCCCCCCGTCCTACAGAACATGGTCTGGCCCGGGTCCAAACAGTCTGCTGGAGATACATTAGACTCTTCAGTTATTTAGCTTTTGGTGCGTTTAAGGACTCATGGGAAAGACGATCGCTGTAACTTCCAGCGGGATGTTGTGGATGCACAGCTGGGCCTGAACATCTGCAGCCATGCTAATGGAGTCTTTATGGCCCCACTCTAACTGTGGATCAGAAACCACATCAGTCTTTTACTTCTTCAGGTCCTCTAAGGCAGTGGTACTCAACTGGTGGGTCGGGACCCAAAAAGTGGGTCACCGAGCCGTTTTAGTGGGCCAGGAAAAACTAGTTGTGTCAGAAAGTTTATAAGTGGTTGAAAAATATCCAACGTTTGGGTCAGGAGTTTGAAATGGGTCCTGAGGCTAGACCAGTTGAGAACCCACTGGTCTTAAGGGATACTGGAGCTCAAAGTGAAGCAGGATAAAATTCTAACACAACACTCACATTAAACACTTGTTATGTTATCATATCTAGCATCTTAAAATGTGGCAAATGCTAAGATTAAGCTATCCTTTAAGTTAAGTTTTACCTGCCAGTCGTCCAGGGAGGGAGTTCACCTGATCGTGATCACCTTCTTCTCTTTTAATGAGGGCCTGACTGATATGGGACTTTTTTGGGGGCCGATACCGATATCAGTGTTGGGAAGAGAGAAAATCCAATTCCGTTAAATCTGCAGATACCCTTCACGTTCGATCTTTAGTGATACATAGATATAGATTAACACATTGAATGCATTGATCCTCAAATGCAGATATCAAACAACGTGCCTCACCTCTTGACCCTCTGGAGAGTGATGATGCGTGTAGTAATCCATATAGCGCCCCCTGCTGGTGGAAGAGAACTGCTAGTGTAATACAATGACACTCCAAGGAAATGCTATTTGTCTTGTGAATGAATCTAGCCATCATAAAGCTAGGTATAATCAGCCGATATCGATGGTTAATATCGGCTGAAATTATCGGCTGGCTGATTAATTATCGGTCGGGCTCTACGTGTAGATGATCAGGTTTACACGGTTCCCTTTGTCCTGAATATGAACACAGTTTGAAAGGTTGCATTTGTCTTATTCTGCTGAGTCAGTTAATAATAATAATGATATTCAGGTCACAAATGTAACTGCGTTTCTATGAGATGAAAAAGTAGTTTTTGCACGGTGCTTGGTTTGCTAACTTTTCAGTTTTGTCCCTCTCTCTCTCTCTCTCTCTGTAGTTTGTGGTGTTTACCTTCTGGAGTCTGTACCTGTACGACAGAGAACTGGTCTACCCCAAACTACTGGACAACTTCATCCCTCAGTGGCTCAATCACGGCATGGTGAGTCCAGCCTCCTCATGATTCGGGTCGTTACTTTGGAAAAGCTCGCTGATGATCATTATCTCGGCTGCATCACCTCTAAATGGATCAGTTATTATCAGACAAAAAAGTCACTAAGAATACATCACCTGCAGGGGGCGGAGCCTGAAGGCAGAGCAGGTTCCATCCCTCATCATCCTGCAATGAGCTTTTAGACATTTACACATTTCAATAATGATAATTACCTTTAATTTAACCAGGAAATTGACTCACGGGGGGTTATTATTCAACTGTAAGGAAGACTCAATAAATTAGGCGACATGAGATCAGACGGATGAAGTGAAATTATGGTACCATATTATTATTACAGAGGAGTTTAATAGATGTGCAAAAACTGATTTAGAAACCCTAAAATGAATGTCAACTGGGCTACAGTGGAGGGATGACATCACTGACATGCAGTTTTGCAAAATCATGTCTGCAAAACTCCACTTAAAACAAAGCTAGTACCAGAATGTATTTCCGCGACGCTGCGTTCATGTCATTTGTTAATGTCGGAGAAAATGCATGACAGTCAGGCTTCAAATAGAGTGGGGCAGCATGCAGTCCTGACATGGCACTTGTTTTATTTGATTTAAGTTCTTTGACAGTAAAGCTGTTTTCACATATATACTCCTGAAGATATCTAGATAATTTCAGGAGGACTGCTCCGGCAAGGAAGTAACGAACGAAGCAACAGAGAGAATACTTGTCTTTCTGTCAATGCTACGTGTAGTTGAACAGAATCACAACATGAACTAAAGAGTGGAGAAGAACATCCTGGAGAACAGGAAACAGCAGGTTCATTAGAGCACAGATGGTAGAGTTCGTCAATGCACCATGTAGCAGTCACAGTATATAAACCTCACTCCCCCCTCCTATTGGCTTGAGGTGAATTCTCCGGAGAATATCCTGCTGCGTTCTCACATCAGCACACTCAGACTTTCTGCAGAAAAAAATACTCGGGGTGAAGTCAGAGTGAAAAATGTGGATATTTGTGTTCACATATTCAGCTCCTCCGGGAAATCTCCAGAGTTTTTCATGAGGTTTCTGCAGGTGTGAACGCTCTATAAGAGTACTGCTGTGTTCCTATTGTTCTACCTCTGTGTCCAAACACCCAAACTAAATCCTTCAGCGTGTAAACCTTCTTCTGAAGAATGAAAAATAATATTTAAGTTAAAAAAAAAAGATCATCTGCAGTTTAAGGATTTTTAAAAATGTTGTTAATGTTGTAAATGTTAATGTTAAAAAAAAAAGAAAGTTCCTGCTTCTGTTTGATGCCACCTGTCAATCATGTCCACATATTTCTCCCCATCATCGCATGCAGACCTTTCCAGATTTTTTTGGGTCACTGGGTCAAGTGCAGCACTTACCAGAACCACCATGCTGTGCAAACCGCTGCTTAATTATCTTAACTTCTGAATATTTGATAAATCTTATCGGTGGTGCAGGGGAACCTTTTGGATTGGACTACAGTCAGAGGCGTCTCGCGGCCTTTGATTTGCCGTCTGGAGGAAACTGTTTTTTAATCTAATGTTTATGTAACAACTACCACGCCGACTGACTGATAACAGAGTCAGCCACGTGTGAGATAATCAGAACATTTTCAGTCCATGCAAAACAAACCTCCTCGTGAAGCAGCTTCCTCCCGCCAGAACTCGCCCACTGAGCCGTGTGAGGCGAGGTGAGACGGTGTGTGTGTGTGTGTGTGTGTGTGTGTGTGTGTGTGTGTGCAAAAAAAAAGATCATTCCCATTAAAACTAGTCAAACAGAAAGAAACAAAAGACAGCGTGTGTGTCTGTTTGTGTATCGTCTCGTACTCCAGAGCATGATGTAATTACTCAGTTGTTGCTATTGCGGCGTCGCCAAGGACCAAAACAACCAGAACATCACCAACCGCCTCCTGTGTGTGTGTGTGTGTGTGTGTGTGTGTGTGTGTGTGAGTCCAGTAAATATTTTGCGGTATTCCATGGTATCACTGTTGTTTGTGTATGCTGGCTGCCATAGCAACCGTATTGCCATTCCCATCGGAGGGAGGGAGGGGCCATTTGATGCAGAGCGAGGGAGGGAAAGTATTTTATTAAATCTCTTTTTAAGACCGAAGCCAACAAAGTGATTGGACGTCAGGCGGCTTTTGTTTTGACAGACTGTACAGACTTGTTGTTGATTTATTTATCGTAGTGATGATGGAGCATCTTGGCTGAACGCACTTCATGTGGAGGTGACTCGGCTAAGTGTTTTTCTCCTTCAGAGTTTATGACATCTTTATCAAGTCATGAGTTATTGATTTATTGATTTATTGTCTGTTTCTGCACAGGGTTTATATTCTTATAGAAACTTTGCAATCAAATATAGTTTATAGACGGAGCGTGAAACGGACAGTTTGTAGCTTTGGCAAATTTTCAACAAGTCTCTTGTTGGGCGGGTTAATGGACTTGAGCTTGTATATTTCTTTTCTAGTCTTCTGACTACTCAAAGTGCGTTTACACCGCAGGTCACACCAACACATTCACACCCTGATGTTAGAGGCTGCTGAGTAAAGAGTCATTCAGAAGTAACTAATCCTATTCATACACATTCACACACCACAGACAAAGCAGAAGGAGCAACTTGGGGTTCAGTGTCTTTCCCAAGGACACATCGAACATGTGGCTGCAGGATCTGGGGATCGAACCCCCAACCTTCAGGTTGAGAGACGACTCTACCACTGAGGCACAGCTGCCATAATTAATATAACAATACACACATGTTAAACACTTATATTGTTAGAAATTTAAAATACAACAACCCACTCTGGTTTGATCTTAGTGACCTCTTGACCTTTGTTGCAGAAGGTTTTTTGTATCCAGAGTGGGCAGTCCTTCATGAAGAAAGATGATCAAATATAAACTTTATTTGTGGTTGTTTTTTGGTCTGATTCAGAAGATGTTAACTGTGTGTGTCAAGCAGCCACTGAAGCTAATCTGGAAGAACAACAAACATCTGCAGTTCCTCGAGTGTCCACTTGGGGTTGGCACCAAAAACCAAAGAATGCCCAATAGGTCCCATATTAAAACCTGTGGACATGTCTACAGCTGGGTTTTGATCATATTAGACTTAAGAGTTTTGCAGCTGAGTTGACAGACAGGTGAGTGACTTGTAGCTGTTTGCAATGAGCTTTAAGCCCCGCCTTGCTGCGGAGAAAATACCCGGAGGCTTGCTTGGTGAAGTCAGAGTGAAAAATGTGTCCGTTTGCGTTCACACATACAGCTCCTCCTGCAAATATCAGGTGTTTAAGCTCTTTAAGTATTAGAATTAGTTTGAAATAAAATGCAACAACATCAGTGTGAAAGAAAATAAATTGCATGAAAATAATGACCTAACATTGGTACATCTTTAAACGCTGCCTCAAATGGCTTTAGTCCACAGCGTTGCTTCAGATTCTCAGAGTGTGTTTGTGATAGAAAGTGGAACACGGTCGTCCCTCCGTGACACGATAAGCTTCTTAAGTTGGACAACTTTTACCAAAAATGTCGACTGGACACGTTTCATCAGCATTCAGGGTTCAAGTGGAGTTCAGTTTAAAACCATGTATCTGTGCAGGACACCAGGACTGAGCAGAAACCACTCTGAGCTGCTGCTCTGTGTGTAACAGCTCCTCCTTAAAGGGCCCTCACTGCTCATGGAACAAAGTGAAAACTAGAAAATACACAAAACACTTTCAAGCTCAAAGGTCCAAACTAACTGATAGGATCATAAAAAGTTTACTGTTTTTTGATCTGTGCTGCACCTAGCGTCTTTGCCGTTTGGTTATGTGACTTAGAAAACCAGTGTTGACCAGTATAGATGTTTTCTCTATTTATTTGGGTGTCTGGAATTTAGTACAGGAAGTGTTCTGGTAGTATTCAATTTAATCAGGAGAGACTTGAAGAATGAACATTTATGTATTTAACAATTCAGGAACTAAAAGTCTTTGGGGATTAGACTCTGTCATGATGACTTCATGCACTCAGAGGGGTAGTGAGGCTGACAGCAGGATAAGATACCCCCCCCCCCCCATGGAGTCTAGACCCTGGTGGTGGTGATAGAAGAATGCAGGATGTGATGAGGAGGGGGTCTTGTCTCTTTAAGCTCCCAAAAATAACGTATTTCTTCATTCAACTTGAGCCACTAATCTGCCCGACACTCTGTCGCTAGAGCCAATCAATGAGATTTCCTGACTTCCTTAAATGCATCAGAAGTGATAGTTTAGTATCCATTCCTCTTGAGGACAGACCAGACAAAGCTTGACTCTTTATTTTTATTTTTTTTTACAAATCTGCATCATGAAGATGTTGTTTCATACCGCTGCAGAGTGAAGCCTCGGTGTAACTTACTATTTACAGTTCAACTCAGACTCACCAGAAACAGATGAACGCGCCCTCCTTCTGAGGATGCAATGAACCAAGTGATTAGGGTGTTTGTTTTGCAGACGTGCAAGATCACACTGTCTCTTTTCAAGCTCCTCATCGAACAGTAAACCATGCAGCGTGATCTATTTCTAGTGCGTAGATTTCAGTTTTTTCTAAGAAGAAAACCCACGAACCTGACCTCACCCAACCCCAGCTGTGTGAAATGGTTTGTCCCAATTTTAGCTCCGGACCACAAGAATGAACCACTGCTGTTCGCCGAACAGGGGGGGATTTTCCGCGGAGGCTGAAAACTGGCGGCTGGAGCAAAACCCCAAAACCTCTGGGGGGGGGGGGGGGGGGGGCAAGTCAAACAGACCGAGACAGACCGAGGGAGAGAGGGACAGCGAGGATAAAGGGAGTATTATTTACGAGTGGCAGAGACTAAACTTAAACATGACCAAGAGACTGGAATTCCACAGAGGCACCCTGGGTAAAAGTGCAGCGTCAGCGTGTGCGTGTGTGTGTGTGTGTGTGTGTGTGTGTGTGTGTGTGTGTGTGTGTGTGTGTGTGTGTGTGTGTGTGTGTGTGTGTGTGTGTGTGTGTGTGTGTGTGTGTGTGTGTGTGTGTGTGTGTGTGTGTGTGTGTGTGTGTGTGGTATAATGATGGGAGGGAAACCTAGAATTTAAGACCCCAGGAGAGAGAGCTCTTCTGCCCATCCTCGTCTGAGATGTTTTTATTCTTGTTAGTTTTTCACATTCTTGGCGTCTTCAGTCTGACCGTTTTTAAATCCATCGGAGAAGCCGGACCGGTCACAGGAAGGTTGTGACACCATGACCTCCTCCATCTGTGCACAGAACAAAGCACTCTGCCCGATCAGAGACGGGTTTGGTTTTCCTGCCACACCAACTTTGAAACTCAGTTAACAATACAAGAGGCTTTGGTTACATAATCCCTCCTCTTCCTGAACGTCTGCAGGACTCTGAGGGTCGCATGTAAGATCACACCTATAGATCGTTTGCTCTGGTCTGAATCATGGAGCAGGTTCTTCTATGCATTTAGGGCTTGATGGATATGGGATTTTTGGGACCTATACCAATTTCGGGGGTAAAAAAAAGCCTGGCTCAGTTTCGGCAGATGGCTACTCGTCATGAGTCTGGTTTTGCCCAAGATTTCTGCTTCTTAAAGAGGACATATTCTCCCCCTCCTCCATCTTTTCAAACAGTCCCCTGTGGTCTAAATGAAACATCTGTGCTATGCTTTGGTCAAAATATAACATGAATCAAGCACCAGAGGAGGTTTGTGACCCTATATAAACCAGCTCTCTCAGAACGCTCCGTTTTGGTGTGTGTGTCTCTTTAAATGCAATAAGCCCCGCCCCCTGAGTTTTCCCCGTAGACATCACTCCTCCGTAGAAAAAATAAAACCTGCACAAAAGTTTTGCTCTAGTCTGGCGGTGGAGTCCATGGGTGGAGATACCAGGGGAGAGGAGGGGATTTTTTTTTACCAGAATCCCACTGTGACATCACAAGGAGAGCACATTAGAAATGGAGCATTTTCCTCTGTGTTGTAAGACTTATGCAGAACACAAACAAAGGACTGGATGGGTTTATTTCACATTTTGTGGGTCAGTAGACTCTCAGGTTACCCAGATATATGTTCAGAAACACTGTACAAGTGGATTTTTCAGAATATGTCTCCTTTAAACATTTTTTATTGATGCTGTCATTTTGCTAAATGTTGACCCGATCATCTTCCGAGGAGATTGGGGAGGTTAAAATCACTCGTACCACACCTCGCACCACAGGAGAATCTGACAAGATAACCTGGCCTTTGCTGACTTCAGTCAGGGGGCGGAGTCAGGCCCGAAATCGGACCGATTATCTGGTATTGTGTTCCCTGCTTTAGACAGTGTGCGGGAGTTTTACCGTGGTTTGGGTGCTCAGGACTTCTCTTTTTCTCGTTGTATTATTGAAACTGTCGTCGACATTGTTTGTTTTTTACATGGTACCCTGACGTCCCTACTTGTCTGAGTCCGATAAAAAACAATGCGAAGAAACATCTCTGTCAGCATCACATAAACACTGCTCATCGTCTCCAGCAGCCAGTCTGGGAGTAATTAACAGATGGAAGATTCCCAGTTGATGTTTTTCTCATCGTAACATAACGAGGCTCGACTGCTGGAGAGACAAAAGAGCCCAGAGGTCTGACTTCACCCCCCCCACACACACACACACACACACACACACACACACACACACACACACACACACACACACACACAGCTGTGCTTCTGAGAGTGCAGCTGAGGTAAGAGGTCTCAACTCTGCAGAGACAATTACGCCTGGTTGTGTGTGTGTTTCTGTGTGTGTGTTTCTGTGAAGGCTCACTGTATTTTGACTGTGCATGCCCCCTAGTGGACAAAGGAGGTAGTTCATTTAAAATCAGTCCAGACAAGAATACATTACTGACCCTCGTTCTTGTAAAAGTTGTGTGATTTCCGAGGCGTTGTGTGTTTGTTGACTCACAGAAAGCACAAATAAAACACACATTCTCAAGTGTGTGTTGAATACCGCTCGACAGAAAATAGCAGCTCATGTCATGACCTCCATTACGTGTGTTTGTATGTTTAGAATAATAACACACACACACACACCGGCTGTATAAAGGGATGAATTAATTATTTAAACTGAACAAACTAACATCCAGTAATCACCGTTTGAGGAGGTGGAGAAGAAGGACAATCTTCTAACCCTTAAAGGTACAGTCTGTAGCTTTGTCCTGAAAAATTAAATTAAAAAAAATAAATTTAAATTTATCCATTTATCCATCATCCCTTCTGGGCCTCCGTACATGTGTGATGGTGCCTGAGTCTGTAGAGATCCTGTCCTCTGACTGGATGTGGATGTTCTGGTTGACTTGGGATGTTTCTAGGCGAGGAGCTGGTCTGTTTCCTCCAGCCAATGACAGCGCAGCAGGTAAGTTTAGGAGTGGATACAATTCAGCGATTGTGATCATAGTGAGACGAAAAGTCAAGAGGTGAAAGCTCGTTCCAAAACGAGGGTGAACCTTGTGTTTGGCTTTAACCTGCAGACGTGGAGTTGGTCTACTTCCTGTTGGACAGGAAGGTGACAAACACCAGCGGTTAGCTTGTGTTAGCGTGTGTTCGCTTGCAGAGTAGGTACAAGCAGTAAACGTTCACCCTACGTCCTGCAGAGAGTGTGAGCTGAGCCCAGGAGGACGAGGAGCCCAATCTGAATCTTGTGTTTACAAGCTTCAGGGAACATGTCTACTGACTCCACCTTTAAAGGAACGCAAAAAAACACAAAACGTGTTGTAACAAAAATCTGTCAGTCAAATGTACTGAAGTATTTGTATGAATTTAAACATCATAGAAAGACTGAAGTATGTACCACCTCCTCTTTTCTTGTGTCTGTGTCTTTCAGCACACTACTGTTCTTCCTTTCATCATCATCGAGATGAGGACCACCCACCATCGCTATCCCAGCAGGTCTTCGGGTCTGGTGGCGGTGTGCTGCTTCGGCGTCGGATACATCCTCTGGTAACAAATGTTTGACTTCTTCCAACACACCAGAAACAACAACACGCGCTACACATCCAGTTTAAAGTCACCTGGACCCTGTTAGGACTTTTTAAATCTAGTGAACGTAGACTGTGTATGAAATACAAAAGTGTGTTTTTAACAACGGAGGGCAAAACAGTGACCGCCATCTTATTCAGCTTATTCAGCTACCTGAATACCAGTAACTATGAAACACTTGATTCAGTCTAAAAGAAGATTGGAAAACCAAGAACAAAGACGAATGTAAAAGACATCATTGTTTCCAGAACTACACATCCCACAATCCATTGCACCCTTCGTTCAAAACGTACACAGACCTTCTCTCTACATGTATCTTTGTTGTAGTGTTGATGTTGTTAATAATAATGTTGTAACTTTTTTTTTGGGGCCGGTAACATTTCCATGGTAACAGCAGGCTCCACCCATCAGAGACGCTGCTGAGATGCTGTAGGATTGTTGGTTGTGTAGTTCTTTTAGCCAAGATCGTGAACGTAATCATACAAAGTTAAACAGGTAGCTCGTGGTCAGTCCTCCGTAGAAGGTTATGACATCATGGCCAATAATTAAAATCCAATATGTGACGATCTTCTCTTCAAACCCGCCCCGTTTAGCGTTTCTAATATAGTTTACATTTATTAGAATTTGTCCTAAGTTAAAATCTTTTCTACAATGAAACGTATCCACAAAGGTCCTTAATGGACTCAACGTTGACTCTCCTCTGTGTCCCCGCCCCCTCTGTGTCCCGGCCCCCTCAGGACGTGTTGGGTGCACGAGGTGACGGGCGTGTGGGTGTACCCGGTGCTGGAGCGCATCACTCCGCTGGCTCGGGTCGCCTTCTTCAGCGCCATGACCGCGGTGATCTGTGTTTTCTACACGCTCGGAGAAATCCTCAACAGCTACATCTGGGACAAGCAGCAGACAGGTATGTGCACACACACACACACACACACGCACACGCACACGCACACACACATATAAACCTCACAATCTCTCACACATGTTTACACTCTCATCTGTTTGTCTCTTTCTTTCAGATAAAGTCAAAGGTGAGTGACCGTCTCTCCTGTCTGTGTGGGCATGGATAAGCCCCGCCTCCAGAAGAGGACGAGCTAAGCCCCGCCCACCCAGGACAGCACAAGAACAGGAAAAACAAGCGACCTCTCCCGGAAGTGGAAACAACAATAATCTTTGAACTTTACTCATAACAATAACTTAGACAAAGACAGAAAATCCTCTCTTCATTTTTTTTTTTTTTTTATGTTTTGTTGTGTCATAGGTTCAAGGTTGTGTCGGCGTTTGTGTTGTGGAGGACTTTGGACAAACGCACAAAACATACATTGACTCATAATGTGAACATATTAACAGACACGCTGTATTTGTAAATGAAGGATTTCTTTCAGAAGCTGCAGCAGAACGTCATTATTATTCATCTCATGAGCGACACTACATGTACGGAGGAAACTTGATGTTGGTACAAAATCAATAAAGTTTGAGTGGAAAATGTTCTCTGGCAGTGACAATCATCAATAGTAGTTATATTTCAGAGGATCCTCGTAAAAGAATGGTCATTTTAGGATAAAGTATTGGTTCCAGATGAGGCTCTGTGTGCTCAGACGGGCTGTTTGGAGATTTTCCCTTCATGACATCACAAAGGGCAGTAGCCCCTCCCCCAGGTGGGTGACCCTCCCACAGCTAAGTGTTTGTTCTGCCCTCTGAGGCCGTGTTCACACTTGACTTCTGCGCTGCCTTCAGCGCCTTTTGAGCGCTTTTGTGCGAGTGTTCTGTAACCGTAACAACAGGATCTAGTCTGCGGTGCAACCGTGCCGGAGCACAACGCATCAATTTAGCACAGAAAAGAACAAACGGGACGGGAAGTCAGACACCGATACAACATTAAAACATCCGGTTTATTTTCAGAATAACACCCTCCGTTTTGACGGTTCAGAAAAACGACCGTTTGTGTGTTTGTTTATGTGTTTATAAGGTTTTTAATGAGTTTTATACCACGAACATCGTATTATCTCGTGCTGTTAAATTACCGCGGAAACTCCTTTGTCTCTGTACTCCAGCTGTCCGTCTGTGCTCTCCGTGCTGCAGACTGAGAACGCAGCCGGTGGGTGTCGACGGATGAGGATGCACGGACCCATAAGAGACCGGAGCGGACACGCAATGCACACAGATCTGGTGGGAGTTTGCCGTTTTTGGGCACCGGTAACTAGGGACGTAGGTTACTACTCGTCCTGATTGGTCAGCTGTCAGAAAGCCGCTTGACGTCACCCAGCGCTTTTCTGAAAAGTTGAAATAATTAAACTGAAAAAGGCGTCATCCTTTTTCCTTTTTCCATAGGCTTGTGTGTAAAAAAGGCGCTGGCAGTTGAAAAAAGAAGTCAAGTGTGAACACGGCCTGAGTCTGCCTTCTCACCATAAACAATAGGACATGGAGCGAGAAAGCCAGAGACACCCGAGCCCTTCAAGAGGGGGGGGCGTGGTCAGACACAGCTCATTTACATATTTAAAGGTACAGACACAGAAACAGTGTTCTGAGCAGAGCTGAAATAGAGGAGTTTATAGACATGATCAAATACAGGATTCATCTTGATTCCATGATGGCGTAATGTTAGTGTCTCTGTATGAATTCATATTGTGTTTCAGTGTTGCAGAACAAAGTGTTAAAGTTTCACATTCATCAATCTTTCATATTTATATATTTTTAATTCATCACCTTCTCGTTCTGAGTCCTAAACAGGTTTGTTTGAATGAAAAATATGGGAAAAAGGGCGACTCGGCGTCTTTTATTAGCATCTAAAACAGATGAATTTATTTGCAGCTTGTCAGATAGAGGTCTGTCTGAAATGAGGAGTACCTATTTTGGTCACAAGGGGGCGCCACAATCAAGATTCAAGTATTAATTGACTGTGTGCAGAACAGAACAGTGACGTGTCTCCGTTAGCTGAGGAAAACTAAGACGCAGTATTAAGAAATATGACTAATAGCTTTGGAGATACTCAGATGATTAAGTAAAACATATTTATATTAAAGGAATGGGAACACTACAGTTTAACAAAATAGAATCAAAATACAGCAGAAATATGTTGTGCTTCATTTGAACCACTAAATAAAAGTGAAGAACTTCTCGATGTTTGATTTCTTCTCCTCTGAAGAGTGACTCACGTCTGAGAGTGTTTCAGGTAGTTTCCTTTTGTCTTCTTTGAGACTTGAGAGAAGTGAAACCACACACACACAAAAACACGCCTTCCTGTCCCCCCCCCCCCCCCCGTGTCGTCTCTCGGGTCGTTTTGTAGTAAAATAACTAAATATACACTCCTCCTTTGTTCTCTCCTGCAGTGTTTTTCTTTCACCTTTACAAAAGATGACATCTCATGTTACACCGCTTTCTTTTTACGCGCGTGTGTGTGTGTGTGTGTGTGTGTGTGTGTGTGTGTGTGTGTGTATAAATGTGTGTGTGGCTCCTCGTGCTGTCATTTTGAAAAGGAGAGTTTGACACATCACACTTTGTTCATTAGCGCTTTACAGCTAGCTCTGCACTGCTCTCCCTCTCTCTCTCTGTGTGTGTGTGTGTGTGTGTGTGTGTGTGTGTGTGTGTGTGTGTACGTGTGTGTGTGTGTCTGTGTGTGTGTGTGTGTCTGTGTGTGTGTGTGTGTGTGTGTGTACGTGTGTCTGTGTGTGTGTGTGTGTGTGTGTCTGTGTGTGTGTGTGTGTGTGTGTGTGTGTGTGTGTGTCTGTGTGTGTGTGTGTGTGTGTGTGTGTGTGTGTGTGTGTGTGTGTGTGTGGTCCTTCATTAACACGTCAGCTCCTCCACTCTGAGGTGACACATTAAAACATTCTGGAATATTCTGCTCTGCATTAATTAGCATAGATTTGCATGCTAACGAGCAGAGAGGAGCTGGTCTGCGGCGCCGGTTCAGACGCAAAACAAAATCCCAAACCTGTCGGTGAAGGATCTGAACAGAGCAGAATAAACACCTGCAGGTTTATAGGACATCTGATTGAACAGGAAGAGGAAGTAGAAAAGGGTTACTGTAAGACCACAGACTGCGTATAAAGATGGAAGAAGCATTCCCAGCTCCTCTCGTTGTTCTAAAGTGAAGCCAAAATACACCCACGGCAGCAGAGACACTTTAGATTCTGCTCCTGAATGCTCTGGATTTGTTTGGACCAGAGAAGGTAGGCGCTTTTAAGACGGTTACATATTGATAGTTTGACCTGTGTCTCATCTGTTAACATGGAGGAGGCGGAGCTTATGACCTGCACTGCAGCCAGTCAGCAGGGGGAGAAATAAATGTTCCAGCTTCACTTTTGGGGAGTTTTCAAAGACTACTAAAAGTTAGACGACATAAGAATTGAGAAAAGGAAGGAAATAAGATTTTAAAAGTTCACGTTTGGATAATTTCTATCTCAAAGTAACGACGCTGTCTCTTTAAATAAATCAAATGTTTGATGGAAAAAAATAAAAAGGGTTAAAAATAAAGAAACAAGAGCAGCTGGGAGGTAATATGAATGAATTTAAGTAAGCAAAAGATCAATTGTGAGAAAGTATGAAAGGAAGGATGTGGTGGAGGAAGGAAGGAAGGAAGTGGGGGAGGAAGGAAGGAAGGAAGTGGGGGAGGAAGGAAGGAAGGAAGTGATGACGCGTAAAAAAACAAAGAACAGACTTTTTTTGCATCTCGTCTCTTTTAGATCAAAGCAATTAAAACTCTGGACACCTGAAACACACACACACACACACACACACACACACACACACACACACACACACACACACGAAGATCACAAATGATCCCAAACACACACATATGCCACAAACATTCTCTCTTACACTCGGCACACTCAGTTTCACAGCTGGGGCGAGCTAAAAAAAACACTGAGAACACACACACGTACACACACACGTACACACACACGTACACACACACACACACGAGAGGAAGTGAGACGGCAGAAACGGTCTGAGTTGTGACACTGTGTGTGTGTGTGTGTGTGTGTGTGGGGTAGTGCTTGTGTGTGTGTGTGTGTGTGTGTGTGTGTGTGTGTGTGTGTGGGGTAGTGCTTGTGTGTGTGTGTGTGTGTGTGTTGTATGAGCTGTTTAGTTCACCCTCTTTGACAAGCACTACCCCCCCCCCCCCCCCCACACACACACACACACACACACACACACAGTTTCTCACTTTTCTTCTGTCTCGTTGTCAGAGACGTTGAACAGGAAATGGTTTGTTGGTGGTTTCACATTCACACTGACACAGAAAGAAGACGAACAACACGACCTCACACACAAAGAAATGAAAGAAGATCAAATCTAATTGAGTTTGAAACTCTCTTTTTAAAATATTCTGACCATTTCATGTTGTAAGTTTCACTTTTACACTCTTATCTGTGAGTGGACACATCTCACACCAACAGCAGATAAGATGACACGTTCAGTTCATCGTAAGTTTGTTTAGAGGCTTCATCTTTCTTTGAAGCTAGCTGCTGAAGTGCGCCCCCTGCTGGGAGACTGATGTGCAAACAACGACAGTGAGAGGACATCAGAATGAAACACAGAACATTTTACATAAAGTGTTGTTTATTAAATTAAAACAAATTTAAAAAGGCGCAGTACAGGAATGATAAAAAGTAGATATATAACAGAACGTTCAGTCCTTCCTTGTTTTGGGTTTTGGGGCTGAAACAGACAGAAAATACAAAACTGTTAAAGGGAGGAGAACCAAAAACAACTGACAGTAGGATGGAGAGGAGTAGAAGAAATCTAAAATCTAAGAAGACAAGAGGAGAGAGAGAGAGGAGGAGAGACAAGAGAGGAGGAGAGGAGAGGAGAGGAGAGGAGAGGAGGAGAGAGAGAGGAGGAGAGGAGAGGAGAGAGAGGAAGAGAGGAGAGGAGAGGAGGAAGGAGAGGAGAGGAGAGGAGAGGAGGAGAGAGAGAGAGGAGGAGAGGAGAGGAATGTCACTATTTAGAGGGAGTATTTTTTCAAACAGAAGAAGAGAATAAGAAAGACGAGAAGAGGAGGTAAAGAAGGAAGCGAGGACAAGAAGTAAATGAAGAAGACTGAGGGGTTTTTATTCTTCACCGTTTGGATTCTCCTGTTTGTAGAACGACTTCAGCATCTCTACAGCTTCTTCTGCTCTGTGGCCTGAAACACACTGAACACACACACACACACACACACACACACACACACACACACACACACTTAGTCATACACACATTTTAAAGCAACTAACACAAAGATAAAAAGACCCCACACCTTAAATGTGTTCCCTGTGTGAGGTAAGTCTGCAGAGGAAACATCCAGAACTGAACCACAGCCTCCAAACCGCTCGTTCCTGCAGCCGTACACGACCACGGGGATGTCTGACCGCTGGTTAAGAAACAGACACTGATACACACACAGACTATACACACACAGATACAGTATTTAAAACACACACTTTGGGGGGGGGGGATACTGCTGAGGCGCAGCGCTGCAGCACACATGATGCACGGCTCCACGGTGACGTACAGCGCTGTTCTCTTGCACACGCTGCTCACATCCAGGTTGCTACGGCGACACCAATCCAGGAGCTGATCCAGGGCGACCATCTCTGCGTGGCGAGTGGCCTAACACACACACAAACACACACACACACACACACACACACACACACACACACACACACACACACACACACAAAGATTAATATAAGGTGTGCAAAGATTGTGTGTCATGATCTGTTTGAAGCTGGAATTAGCTCGTTCAAACCAGATTCAGTTCTTTTAAAAAGTGGTTTGTGTCATTTCTTTCTTACATTTCTGGTCTCGTTGACTTCGTTTCTTCCCTTCCCCACGACTTGATCGTTGTAGACCATCAGACATCCCACCGGCACCTCTCCGTTCTCCAGAGCGTCTTTGGCCTGCAGGAATACATCACACACAACAGCATGTCAACACCTGGAGACCCCACTGCACATTCTCTAAACCAGAGACTCTACTAGTTAATGTGTTAAAGGTCACATATCCTCCTCCTCTTCTTCAGTGTAAATAAGTCTCAGAGCTCCTCAAAACATGTGCGTGAAGTTTCTTGTTCTAAATCCACTCTGATCCTGTATTTGATCATGTCTATAAACCCCTCTATTTCAGCCCTGCTCAGAACAGGCTGTTTCTGTGTCTGTACCTTTAAATATGTAAATGAGCTGTGTCTGACCACGCCCCCTCTCTCTGGAAGTAGCTGGGGTGTACTCGGTGCTTTCTCGCTCCATGTCCTATTGTTTACGGTGAGAAGGCAGACTCAGAGGGCAGAACAAACACCTAGCTGTGGGAGTGTCACCCACCTGGGGGAGGGGCTACTGCCCTTTGTGATGTCATGAAGGGAAAATCTACAAACGGCCTGTTTGAGCACACATTTTCTGAAAAGTGGAGCAGGGAGAAGACGAGAGGATGGACTTTACTCATCATTGGGGGGCTTTTAGACGGACTAGGGGCACATATTAAGAGTTAGAGAAACATGATGAAGTGGATTATGCATCATATGTTACTTTTACTTTTCTTACAGTCGTTGATTCATAGTTTTTTTATTACCTTTGGATAACCTTGTGATGTCTTTACAGCTTTATTAAGCTCATAATTAAAGGAAAATGTGCTTAAAATTAAGGAATTATCTCAAAATGTTAAGTATAATAGATGATTTTTCAGTAATTACTTTGAAATCTGTTACTCTATAAAACTTATCAGGCACATGCAACAACATATTCAACCTTTTTAATTAATTAATTAACATAAATGTCATGTATCTCTCACCATGTCAAAAGCGCTGCACATCCACCTCTCTGTTTCCTCCTCACTGGGAGAGAAACTCTCCTCCTCTGTTCCCATGGCAACTGCGACGACTTTACTGCTTTACTTGAATAAAAAATGACATGCTTAAAAACTGCTTTTGAACTACTTTAATGCATCATAATCGTGCCCTGCAGTCTGCTCGCCATGCTCTTTAGAACGACAGGGGACGATAATACTTGACGGACCAAAATCCAGACAAGAACAATCGACCTGCTCGGTCGATCGTGCCTCTCCACGCTCATCCTCGTGTTTGCGTTGGTTGCGTCAAGTGAGCGACAGTTAGTCACATTCAAAGCGGAAGTAAAGTGGATTTTGGATACAAAATAAAAGTATGACTCCCTACCTTAATGTTGGGCTTTATTAATAGGATCATGTGTCCTATGAGGGACACAAAATGACTAAAGTATAAATAAATAAATGTTGGGAGAAATGCATACAATAATGTATAAATAAATAAATAATTAAATAAATGCATCAATAAATAAATATATGCTGAAAACAATACATCAAAGAATAAATAATAAATACACTTTGTTAATGAAAAAAGCCAAGTTATATATTTTTACATGTATTTATTTATTTATTAGCGTATTCCTACAGTTATATATGTATCAATGCATACATTTCCACATTAATTGAGTTATTAATTTAATCCGTATTTTTACATTTACACATCTAGTTATTTCTGTGTCCAGGTCGTCAGAGGAAAAGTATTTATGTAAATTTGCTTCTGTCTGTTTTTCAAAATTGACCAATCCTACTTCAGTAATGTTAGGACGGCCCACTTCATTTACATATTTACTTTTCCTTGTACAACATGGACACAGAAATACATAAATAAATATATTAATATAATTATTTAGATATTTATTGATGCATTTATTTATACATTATTGTATGCATTTCTCCCAACATTTATTTATTTATTATTTATTAATTTATTAATTAATTAATTATACTTATACTGACTATACTAGTCATTTTTTGTCCCTCATAGTGTCCTGGAGAGATATATCAAAATATAAATATCTCTGCTTATCATATAAACGGACAGACTATGGCTGCGCAAACTACATCTACTAAAATTCTAAAAAGACAAATAAATGGTTTTATTCTGGAGAAAAACAACCGGAACTTCTATAACTCACTATGCGCCACTTGACGGAAACACTTTAGCACTTCTGACAGTTCTCACCCAAACGGGGGCGTGGTCACTCTGGCGAACCGGAAGTGACGTTAGACTGCTCCTGTGCATGCTAACACGGAGTAGCCCGAAAGTCTTCAGATGAAATGTCCGTGAAATAGTTATCACGAAGTTCAAAGTACGGAGTGGTGTTTTTTTTTTTTTTTTAGTTTAAGTTTCTAAACTTCTCAGTCTACAAAGATGTTTTCATCTGTGTGGAATTTTATTAAACGTCACAAAAGGAAATTTATTTTCACCGGAGCTTTTATCGGAGGTGAGTTCCTGTTAGCTTCTGTTAGCTTCTTGAGCTAGCTGGTAACTTAGCAACACGTTGGACCTTCCTGAGAATATGTCATATTTTAATTAATTATTTTACTTATTAAAACAGGCGGAATCATCCAAAGACTCAAATCTGTTAAACCCTTTTAACTGAACTCATTTTAATTCAGGCTTTTTAAACAAACAGCTGATCTTTAAACTGACAGAAAGTTCAATGAGGTTCGGCCTTCCACCCAAAACACATTAAACACATTAAACACATTAAACACATTAAACACATTAAACACATTAAACACATTAAACTGCTATCATCATAACAACAGGTTAATAATGCATTAAACTTAAATACTGACCTGCTGTGATGGAGATTTCTCCCAGGTGGTTTAATACAAACTGAAAGGTGTTTTATCTTGTCTTATATTTAATTGCTTTACAAACAGTATTTAGTAATTTTTATCTTTGCATTTATTAGATGTTTGGAGGGTTTTATTGTGAAAATGTGTTTTATCTTTGCATTTATTAGATGTTTGGAGGGTTTTATTGTGAAAAGGTGAAGGTATGCACATCCTTCCTCTTAATGCATAATGCTGGATTTCAAAGTTAAACTCAGAACAGTTATTTTTTCAAATCACTTAATTGCTTTTTCTTAATTATTGTTGTAACCAGGACTTTTCGCCTACATGGAAAAACACTGATTTAGACATTTGGGGCTTTATAGAAGTAGAGCTGGAGAACATGGATCATATCTCCATGATCTTTAGCTGAATGACAGTAAATGGACTTGAAGTTGTTTAGCTCTTTTCTAGTCTTTTAAACCGCAGGTCACACCTCCACATTCACACACTGATGGTAGAGGCTGCCGAGTAAAAAGTCCATCAGAAGTAACTAATCCATTCATACACCACTGATGAAGCAGAGGGAGCAACTTGGGGTTGATGGTGCGTTCCAATTGATTTAGGAAGCTGGATATTTTTTGAGCTGGAAACTGGGAGGAACTTCAGAAGCCAGTAGAGTTAAAAATCCAACATGACGGCTACATGCATCAACAGTAAAGTTTAAGATGTGACTGTTGTGTTTAGTAGCAGTTTAGTCCTTTTTTTGTCTAATTAAATCAATCACACCGATAGTATCGTATCTGTGGACGAGTTGTCGTGTTATTTTTCGTACAAAACTAAAACGTACTGTGTTGTTATCGACACATATTAGCTAACAAAACACAGGTTACTCGTGGAGGTGACCATGCAGCTCGTCCAACTTGTTGCCAACCAACATCTGGGACGTGGTAAACTCGGGTGTGACATCTTTTCCAGCTCGATATATATCGCCTTGCCCTACTTAGTACTGCATCTTATGTCCGTCTTCTCGATCCCTCAGGAGTGTACTTTCTGGGTAAGTATGCTCAGAAGAAGATCGGGGATATCCAGGAGAAGGAGGCGACGGAGTACATCGCTCAGGCCAGACGACAGTTCCACTTTGAAAGCAACCAGAGAACGTTCAACATGACGGGTAACGCCTTCACCTCCGAAGACGATCAATGCTTTTAATATCCCTGAATGAGTTATTTTATTATAAGTCACTGATGCTCTGCAAAGTAAATGTTTAGAATGAATCTCTGCTCATGTCGGCACAAATCATTTAAAGTGTGTTCGTTCTGTTTGCAGTGCTGTCCATGCTCCCTCCACTAAAGAAGCCATCATCAATCAACTCACTCAGAAAGTCTCACAGCACTACTAAAGACCAA